ATAGATAATCAGTATGTTCTTTTTCAATGGAGATAAGGATTTGGATCCGGCATGGGTTGAATTTATATCTTTCTCTAGTTAGCCTGGTGAGTCGGGCTGTGGTATTTAGACATTTATTTCGTCACCAAGACGCACACACTCAGCATTGGAAATGTGGCCAGCCCAAGTTGGGTGTTACAAGCTTAAACTACAAGCTGGATTTAGAAAATCTATTATGAAAATAAATTAATAATTTTATGTTAAAATAATGTTTTAACCAATTGGGATAAGTAAAATACATGATTAAAATTAATTTCACCCGTCTGTTTTCATTTTTCTAATGTGGCACCGAGAAAGCCTCGCAGCTGCGACAACGCGCACCGCTTCTCCCGGGCAGCGCGGGCGCCGTTTCCAACTGCCTTTTGCGCTACGGGGACGCCCGCTCGCCTCCGCAAGGGCCTCTGCGCGCCCCGCCCCCTCGTGAGCTCTGACCGCCCTAGGACGCACGGCCTGTCCTCACGTACAGCGCGTACGTGTCCTCACGTGCAGCGCGTGCGTGTCCTTGTGCAGCGCGTACGTGTCCTCACGTGCAGCGCATGTGTGTCCTCACGTGCAGCATGTGCATGTCCTCACGTACAGTGCGTCCATGTCCTTGTGCAGCGCGTGCGTGTCCTCACGTGCAGCGCGTACGTGTCCGCTTCTGCCAGTGCATCGCCGCTGGCGGCAGCAGCACGAGGGTCTGCCCCGGCGCCCGGCCGCGGGGTCAGCGCGCCCCGCCCTCTGGAGCCCCGCAGACGAAGTCCTGGGTCCGCCCAGGACACCTGCACGGCCCACGGGCCCCGCGCGCTGGGCAGCAGCAGCAGCGCGACGCCGACCCGCCCAGTGAAAGCCCACGTGCACGTGGAGGCAGACGCAGGGGCCTCCGGGGAGAACTTTGCCTTTGACCCTTTGATTTTTAAAAGCTTGACTTTAAATCTCTCGTTCCTGCGTGCAGATTTATAGCCCTCGCTCCAGTGAAACAGGCCCGTAAATCCGTCTTCCCCGCGGAGCGGCGGCGGAAAGCTGCCCATGTTTGGGGCGGCTCCGGGGGAGCTCCCTGTGAGCGGCGTTGGGAGACAGCTCTCACCCCCGAGCAGCAGACCCGTCTGGGCCAGGTCACCGGGGAGCTGGTCCCGTAGTTTAGGTGTTAGTTTAGCGACGTTTACTGAGAGTTTGCTTGCTGGACCGAGGCTCCCTGAGTTCGGTTCCGCGGGAACCTTCTCAGCGCTGCCGGGAACAGCGAGGGCTCCGAGGACGCGGAGAGCAGCGGCGGCGTCCTGGTCCCAGTGGAGGGTCTGACCGCGTCTGCACGGAGCTCCGTGAGCGCTGACGGGCGCTGGACGTCCAGGGGCTCCGGGCAGCAGAGGGCCCACCTCTCAGCAGGGGCTCAGGGGTGGCCCCACGGAGAACAGGAGCTCTGCAGGAGCCCCCACATTGTGAGCGCCAAGACGAAGGTTGCGCACGGTGCGGGGTCTGCAGCAGGAAGGGAGAGGCCGCCTGCGCACCGCCCCCCCCCCCGTGGAGAACCCAGTGGTGGGAGCAGGGAGCTGCGGGGGTGTTTCCTGTGCCCCAGACTTGGGACCGCCCCCGTCACTGTCAGTGGGACAGGGTGGGGGCGAGGGGACTCCAGCAGACACAGCACGAGGGCGCTCCACGGGGCGCCGTCCAGGGCCGGGGAAGCATCCCGCCCTCGCTTCCCTGCGAGACAGGCCGGAGACACTCGGGGACTCGGCGGGCCGACAGAAACCTGTCCCGTCGGGGAGTGTCGGGACAGAGGGCTCGGGGAGCCGCCCGGCCCCGGGGCACTGCTGGTCGGTTGCCCGCCGTCCCCGCGAGCACGGAGAGCTCGGAGCCGCCCCAGTGAGTGGCCGCCAAGGGCCTGGGGGGGAAGGGTCAGGGGAGGCGGCAGCCGGGCCCCGGTTCCCCCAGAGGGCCGCTCGCGCAGACGAGAAGCTTCCTGTTGTTCCGTGGCGCTGGCTGCTGGGGAGAGTGCCGGGACGGACCCTCTGCTGCGGGGGGAAGGTCCCGCTGAACGAGACCCCCCGACTGCCGAGGCCAGGAGTGGACGGTCCCGGGCTCTGCCCGGAGCTGCGCCGACCGCCGAGGCCGGGCAGTGGGGGCGAGAGTGGGCCGGTCCCAGTCCGTCCGTCCTGTCACTGTTGGGAGCTGCTGGCCTGACCCGAGACCTCTGTTCACTTCGCTGCCCCACCATCTGCCCCCGCCATCTGCCCCCGGCCCTGCCCAGCTCCACGCAGGGCCCCGGCTGCCCCAGCCCTGCCGCACCCCCTCGCTGGGCCGATTCCACAGCCAGGGGACCTCTGGCTGCGTCCTGGTGACTCCCCTGCCCCCCTGCAGGAGGCGCCCCAGCCCCGGCCCGCAGTCCCCACCTGGACCTGAGATGGGTTGGCCGCCAGGGTTCTCGGTGCGCAGGGAGCTCGTGACCCCTCATGGGCTTGCTGCCCCCTCCCCCCCAACAGTCACGTGCCCTCGACTGGAGGTGCCTCCCCGCTCCATGGAGAGGGCTCTCGCACACTCGGCCTGTCCGGGGGCTCACCGGCTCGCACTGGTGTGACCAGTGGGAGTCACTCTCACCGGTGTGTGGGGGACGGTCACCCCGGGACAGGCTATTTCTGACTGGAGCCACGGGGACTCTTTAGAAAGTGATGGCGACCAAGAGAGGTCGGGGACGTTTCAGGACCGACCAGCCACCTCAGGTTCGGTGTTCCCCAGCCGACCCGAGGCCGGCAGAGATCAGCCGGACGACGCATCCCTTGGGAGAAGCACCTGCGTTCTGTCGCCGTGGTGTGTGTCCGTGCGTCTCAGGATTCCCTCGGGGTGGTCCTCCCACCGGGCAGCCCCTGGGCGCCCCCAGTCCCGCCTTCTCTGCAGGCCCCGCCCCCAGCTGAGGGCAGCACTGGCCTTGGGGACTCAGGGACTCGGGGACTCAGGGCAGCCGAGAACAACGGCGATGAAAATGGCAACAAGTTCTGTCACGCGCCCTCCCCCTCCGGCCGGGGAGTCTGAGAACAGGGAATTGGCCTTTTCGGTAAATGAATGTAAAATGCTGTTTGCTTTCGATGCGGCCCCTCAGCCGGGAGCTCATCATTGCCCCAAATGAGCCTGGACGTGGCTCGGGAGCGCCACCTCCTCACGCAGCGCAGAAGGGGCAGGCGTGCCCTGAGCGCTGGTCCCAGCTGAGGTCGGCGGCCTGCCTCTGCCTGCCCTGCTCTGGGACGCAGGGGCCAGCTGTGTCCTCGTTGGCGATCGAGGTGACCGGGACGGCCGTGATTCTGGACGAGCCCGCGACCCCTGTGGGGCGGGCGGGGGCCGTGCCGCTGTCCTGGTGGTCACGGGACGTCAGATGTTTGTACCGTCCCATGGGCGCGTCACTCCACGATGGATGTCTCGTGGTTTCTCTGCTGTGGCTGCCGGCTTTACAGTCCTGGCATCGTCACAGGGAACCCAGTGAGGCCGTTACTCACGGTCCGTTGCAGGGGTGAGAGAACAGCCCGTGTTTCCGGTTCTTCCTGTTTGAAGGTGTCTCCTTCTCTTTATCCTCACAGTCCCGCTGCGCGCCGGAGGTGTTGTCCCACTTTACAGATAAGAAAACTGAGGCACGCGGGGTCGGAGTGGCTGGTCCGGGTTGTACTGCCAGCAGCATCGGTGGGGCTGGGACCAGGGTGAGGGGAGCCAGGGGCACCAGTAGGAACCCTGGGCACGTACCACCTCCCGACCCGAGGGGAAGGGCCTCCTCCCACGGGTGCTCAGGACACCTGCTTGCCGCCTCCTGTGTCCAGGGCCCGGCCACACCAATGACCTCGGTGTGGACCCTGGGCACTGTCACCCCTCGTCCTTCCGGGCCTCGCCGTAACGGATCGGCCTCCTCTTTCGTGGGGGAGCGGACGGAACAGCCCGAGAGAGAGGCCAGCGCGGGAACTGGCCTCACCGGGGGCTCCTCCCCCGGACGCCTCCCGTTCTCTCTCGTGGCTGCGACTCCTCCCCGGCCGCGTGCAGCCTGCCCAGAGCGGGGGGGGGGGGTGCCCTGCTGCCGAGGTGCGGCACCCACCCCCTGCCCCCGGAGGGCCCTGGAGCCGCCTCCCGGAGGACGGTGCAGCCCGGCCGGCCTGGCTGCTGCCGCGTGTCTCGTTCGTGTTGTCAGGGGCAGACGCAGCCTGCGCGGCCCGTGCCGGTCAGAGACAGCCCGCGGCTGCGTGTGAGTGGGGACCCCGGGCCCTGCAGCGGCGGGCCCGTGTGCAGGGAGAGCAGGTCCCTGCAGGGGCCCAGTCTCGCGGCGTCCCCGGCCACCACGGAAGGAGAGTTGTCTCGGATCACACGTTAAATGCATCGTGACACACAGTCACAAGGAAAACCTCATAACCTTTTACGTACATTTACGGATTTACGTTGGGCCGCAGGCTGGGCACTCCTGCAGGACAGGGGAGGGACGCCCAGGACCCCAGAGCCGCAGGGAGGCCCTCCGGCCCCAGCACCCCGTCCTTCCGCAGGGGTTCCGAGCGTCGGGTGGGCTTTGAGTGGAGCTGGACTTTCCAGCGAGCTGACGAGTGGCAGAGCAGTCTGAGCGCCGCTGGGAGCCAGGACCTGTTGCTCAGTCCTGCACAGCCCGGGACGCGGGGGACAGACCCCGGACGGTGGCTGCCCCTCCCCGACTCGCCAGGCCCAGGAATAGCCCCTGGGAGGCTGCAGACCTGCCGGGGCAGGGGGCCCGCCAGGGCAGGGGACCCTCGGGCAGGGGGCCCCAGCTGGGTGCAGGGTGTGGTGCTGGGGGCCGGGGGCTTCTTCAGATGGCTCAGCCTCCCCCAGCAGGACGCCTGGCAGCTCCAGCCACCCCTCCCCCTCCACCCACGGCCTGGAGGGAGGGGCCCTGACGGACACCCCGCCCGCAGGGCTGCCCCAGGAGGCACGCCGAGGCCGGCCCCAGGGGGCCGAGAGGGGCGCAGGTGCGGGGAGCACGCGGCACTTGCCTCCCGGATGAGGCTCATGAACCGGGGTCCGAGGCGCCAGGGCTTGTGTCGGTGGCACTGCAGCGAGCTGACGGCCAGCTGGGGCGCCCGGTGCGCGGCGAGGGCCACCACGTGCACGGCGTCGAACATCAGCGCCGCGTCCGTCTGCGGAGACACACACCACGGGCTCAGTGCGGCCTGCACCTGCCTCTTCGCCTGCCTGAGCTCGCCTGCCTGTGCTCACCTGCCTGAGCTCGCCTGCCTGAGCTCACCTGCCTCAGCTCACCTGCCTGAGCTCGCCTGCCTGTGCTCACCTGCCCCTTTACCTGCCTGTGCTCACCTGCCTGAGCTCGCCTGCCTGAGCTCGCCTGCCTGTGCTCACCTGCCTGAGCTCGCCTGCCTGAGCTCGCCTGCCTGTGCTCACCTGCCTGAGCTCGCCTGCCTGAGCTCGCCTGCCCCTTTACCTGCCTGCATCCGCCTGCCTGAGCCCGCCTGCCCGCGCCCCGGCCTGTGCCTGTGTCCCCAGCCCCTGGGATCTCAGCAGCCACTTGCTCTGCTGCGGGACAGTTTTTGTTCCCCAGGGGCCGCCTTTCTCCGAAAGGCTGACCGACCACCTCGTGCCCAGGGGCAGGGGGGGCACAGCTCTGCCCTGTTTTCAGTCGTCAAGAAAATGCAGCTCAGATCGGCCACCAAAGGCCGGGTTTGGGGCGCGCACGTTTTCAGAGTCTTCTGTGTTAAGCCCGAGGTTAAGCTCGCGAGTTAAAAACTAACGCTCATATTTCAGTGTCAGATTTCGTTTCTCGGAATTTCTCTGTCTCCTCACCCATCTGTGTGCTTGTGTGTGTGTGGTAACTGCTAGAGGGGACACCACAGGTGACTTTCCGGTGAGTGTTCCCCTGCTGGCAAAGGCGGCTCTCGTTACAGAACCCCCGGTGACAGCGGGGGTGGGGGCCCCTGGAGACCGGGGGCGTGTGGCACGCTGGACGTGGGTGCCCAGTCAGAGCCTGCCCCCCGCCCCCCCCCAACAGAGATGTGGGTCCTCATTCCCCCTGGGGTCCGGCCTCCCCTCCTCCTTTCCTGTGACCTTTCTCTCCTTGCAAAAATTCACACCAGTACTTCCAGCGTTTCTATGAAATATACGGCCCTGTGGTCTCCTTGAAGGATAAAATCTTGTAACACCTTCGCATTTTACTGGAGGGTTTTTGTAGCCACTTCAGATGTGTTAGTTCATTTGAAGTCCTCAGGGTCCCGGGCACAGGCTGTCGGCACGGATGGGATGGAGGGCTCTCTGCCAGCGGGGATTGCGGCCTCCGGGGCGCGTGGTCTGCAGGGTGTCGGGCTGGCAGTCCGGGGAGCTGTTGGAGCTCGAACATGTTCCGACTGTTTCAGGTCACGGCTGAGCAAGTCCATTTCAGAGATGTGGACACTGAGGCTCAGGGACATCGAGTGGCTGGATCAAGGCCATTCTGCTCCTTAGTGACGTGGCCAGGGTGTGAGCCCACGGCTGTCCGGCCTGACCCCGTGGTGGCAGCTGCTCTGCTCTGTGCAGCTCTCGGGGTTCGGTGGAAGGAGGGGGGTCGGCCGGCGGAAGGCGAGTGTTCGACATCCATCAGAAATGACAGCCGACCTTTACCGAGCGCTGCCCGTAGTCCGGGAGCCGTCCTGGACACCCTGCACACGCTCAGACTTCACCACGACCTCCCTCCTCCGTGGACGAAGGAGTAATGTGGGTAAACGGTGTCTTCAGACTCGCGGGGGGCCGGCCAAGTTCAGGCCTGGGAAGGGACGCCGGGTTGACGCTCCTCCCCACGGAGCTGAGCTGCGTCTGCCCTGAGTGAGTGTCCGTCCGGTAACTAAAGACCGTGCTGGCAGCTCGGTGACGGCCGGCGTGCCCCCGGGGTCCACCCGGCGTGTCGGCGACAGCGTGGGCAGTGCGCCCTCGGGGCCCTCTGCGCCTCGGCGGCCGGCGGCACCTCTGCCCTCTCCTTCCTGGTTTCCCTCACTCGCTCGTGACCCTTCCCCCCCCGCCCGTCCTTGGGGGCTCTGGCTCGAGGTCCGTCAACTTCGTTTCTTTCCCAAGAGACAGCTTTTAGTGTAATTGTTTTTTTTATTTATTAGTTTTCATTTTATTTATTTCTGCTCCGATCTTTATTATTTCCTTTTTTAACGCACTTCAGGCTTTTCATTAGTCACCTGAAGCAGGAGGTTGGACTGTTTGTTTCCCGTGTTCCTGTTTTCTGGGGCAGGCCCGTGTCACCGAAATTCCCCCTCAGAGCTGTCTTTGTTCTGTCCTGTAGATCTTGGGCCACCGGTTTCCGTTTTAATCAGACTCGGGAAATTTCCCCCCTTGATTTCCGCGTTATCCATTGGCCGACTGCTCGGTGGTAGCCTGCGGTTCAGCCCCCACCTGCCCGTGTCTTCCCGGTTTTGTTCCCGCAACCGGTTCCCAGTTCCCTAGCGCTGTGATGCGAGAAGGCGCTTCACACGGTTTCAGTCTCCGTGAGCTCACGGAGACTTGCTGTGCCGTCCGACACAGGCTCTGTCCTGGAAAACGTGCTCGCTGCACTTGGGCATGCGCCCCCCGTTCCAGAGGGAGGGTGGCGGTGCCCTTGCCCTTCAGCCTTCCCGTGGGTCCGTGCGGGCACCCCCACCGGCACCCCCACCTCCATGGAGGTGCCCCCCCCGGGGGCAGAGACGACACTGACCCGCACACCAGCCTCGTCGGGCGAACCAGGGTCACCAGAGGCCCCGCCTCTAAGCTCTGTCTGCAGGGCTGAGGGCCCGACTGGCAGGGCCTGCGTCCTGCTACGTTCTGGGGAAATTGCGTTGACAGGTCCTGGCGAGGCTGCTGTGCCCACTCTTATGGCCCCCGGTGAGCCGCCCTCTTCTCTCCCGCAGACCCCGCCTTCCTCGTGGGGGTCTAGCATCGCACCAGCGAGAAGGCTGACGGAGCCGGAGGGCCCCTCTTTGGGCGAGACGGCCGCACCCCCCTCTGGGCCGCGTGGGGCTCTCCACCCACCGGGACGTGGGGACGTGGCTGTGCCCACAGGACGGCCGGGGGCCCCCCAGGCTGCCCGAGTCCGATGAGAATTTTGGGGCTCACTCTCTGCCACTCTTTCAGGGTCTGCTCTCCCGGCGGGCACTTGCAGACGGCTGCCAGCTCAGCACGTGCGTTTCTAGGGGGAGGGGTGTAAGTGGGGCCTCCCCTGTGATGAGCATTTAATGTTGGGTGCGAGTCCACACCTGCATGGGTGGTCCCTGCCGCGTGTGGGTGCAGTCAGTTTTGGTCTCATCCTGTGACAGCGATGTTTCAGGGAGTTGGGGGTGGGCAGGGGACTTGGGGACATACTGGAATCACACCCCAGAGAAGAAGAGAAACCCAGCGCACCACCTCCTCCCCGACTTCCCTGCCCCCCGGCCCCCGAGTCCAGTATTTCCGGGGCACCCCCTGCTTGTCCTTGCCCACGGAGATGCCCCGAATCACGGAGGGCACGTGGGCAGCAAAACACTTTCCTTCCTTGTCTCTCGTGTCCCTGCGTGAAGAGTCCTCTCAGGCTTGAGGAACGGCCGGCGACCTCGAACACGGGGTCCCGTGGAACCACTTCGTTCACTCGTTTATCTGTCCTTTGAATTTGTTTCCCATTAAAAGAAGCAGAAAGAGAAAAGGACCCCCGGTTCATCTCTCTGCGGGGCATCTTTCTGTTACCAGTAAACTGCGTCTGAAAGCCAGAGTGTTTCTGGGGCGCGGGGAGCAGGGAGGGAAGGCCCGGCCAGTTTGAACCTGCCTGCGCCGCCCGACGCCCTTTCCCGCAGACGACACCGTTCCCACGCGGGAAGCTTAGAAAAAGATTCCCTGCTCTTTCCCTCATCACGCGGGGACTTCCGGTAGGGAAGCCACCCAGGGGGGGTGACAGCGAAAGACAGATGATTCGGGCAGAAGCTGCGGACATGGAGTGCCCCCCTCCGACCCGCCCTGCCCCGCTCCCCCTCCCGCGCCGGGGCGGGCCTGGCACCTGCCGCAGAGTGACTAGCTCGGGCCTGGAGCACCCCCGAGTCTGAGAGGGGGCCTCTGGTCCCTGGGACAGCGCGCGGGGATGCGGCCACCAGGCGTGTCTCCCGCACTTTCCACGCGCTGCCCCCTCCCCGAGGTGGAGCAGGGTGTCGCCCTCCGCCCCTCCCCACTGCCCCTCCCGCGGCCGCGTTCCAGGCGTGGTTTCCGCTCTGTCCCCCACTCGCCCGGCCGACCGCGGCGGCGACTCCAGCTGTTCTCACCCGGGGCGCGCGCAGCCAGAAAGCCGAAAGCAGCAGGTGTCAAGAGAACCGTGCTCAGGCCTCAGAAACCCCAGGTGCCCTCCCCGGGTCCCTCGTCTGAGTCCCGGCCCCGCCCCCGGGGGACCCCGCCCCCCTCCGGGGCCCGGCTCCCACCGCTGACCGCTGACCGCTGACCGCTCACCGTCATCGTGCCGTCCAGGAGGCCCGCCTCCGGCCTGGGCGGCGCCTGCAGCCGCTCCATGGACCACTTCTCCGCGACGGCGGCCACCCGCGGGTCGTCCACGCCGAGCAGCCGGAAGCCGGTCATGTTGACGCCGCTGTACCGGTAGAGCTCCAGGTCCAGGGCGAACAAGTCCTGCGCGGCGAGAAACGCGAGAGGCGTGGGGCGAGTTGGTGCGGAAGGCGGCTGCCGACGGCGGAGGGACCGGAGGGGTCGGTGGCGCCGTGGGAGCCACTGGACTGGCTCGGGGAAAGGCGCGCTCCCCTGCGCTCTGCCCGGGTGGTGCCGGCCCTCATTGATCTCTCCAGCTGTCCAGTTTGCACAAACCCAGGAGAAGGACTTGGCTGCCCACCAGCAGCAGCCCTTGGGCCCAGCGTGTGACATTTCTGGGACGCTCCGGGTCCTCTTTCTGGGGCAGGGTCACCCGGGAACAGGCAGGCACCCCTGCGTCCATCCAGTTCAGCGCCTTTATTTTATTAACGAGGAGGCAGGCTCTGAGGGTGAGTCCTGCACCCGGGAAAGGAAGGTCCGCTTGTCAGGGCGGCACCACCCTGGTCAGCACATCTTGCTGTGCCCCGCCCCCCCCCGGCAAAGGAGGGGACATTGGGGAATTGCATATCCCTGGGTGGGAAGGGGCCTTCAGCGGGAAAGAGCAGCATCTCCCTGAAAGAGCCCGCATCCCCCTCAGTGTGGGCCTGGGGAAGGCTCAGTGGACCCTCTGGGGATGGGGGCCAGAGGGTTCTCCCCGGAGAGGAAGCAGGAGATGGAGGACCTTGGGAGTGGAACTCGCTCAGCCCTGGCCTGGCCTGGCCTGGCCCACCCCGCCCGGCAGTGTCGGGGAGGAGCTCAACCCGCCACCAGTTTCCAGGGCCGGGCAGGGGCCTGCGAGTCCACTCCCAGCTCACGCACACGCCCGTGACAGCCTCACTCCTGTGCTCGTGGAAGAGGGCTGCGCCGCACACTGCACGGTCACGGATGTGCAGCCCGCCCCAAACCTTGCAAGTGGCATTTAACAGGAAGGAAAAACCTTCACCAACGTTTCCTATCAGCGCGCGGAGCTGGGTTACGGAAGCGCGGCCCAGGCAGCCGCCCGCACGCTGACCGTGGTCCCCGAGCGGAAGCAGCCGGTGGGAAGCCGCCGGGACTGTGTCCTTGGGAGACAGACACCCGATCTTCTGAGGGCCCCCCACCCTGCCCTGCCTGACAAAACTTGGGGTTCGCTCTGCGCTCCCAGCTCAGGGTCAGAAAAAGTGTCCAGCTTTGGAATGTTGTATCACCCCCTCCCCCCAAGTAACGTTCTGTTTTCTTCAAGTTCTGCTCATTCTCACGGGAGGGGCAGGCTTCAGGCAAAACCACGGGGAAGTGTGCAGTAAGCAGGTCTGAAGCACCAGTCCCAGCCACGGATGCTTCCCTTATCACGCTCAGTGAGCGGAAGGATAGTCGCTCCAGCTGGCGGGGCTCAGCCAGAGGCTCCCAGGGGTCCCTCACGGGCTCCCACGGACTCCCCAGCAGTGAGTGTGACCTGCTGGCTCGCCCACAGCCCCAGGCGTGTGGGGCTGGGGGGCTGCACGCCCAGGCTTCCGGGCGTGGAGGGAGTTCAAGCCCCCTGTGCATGTGGACAGCCCACCTCTCCCCACCAAAGGACCTGGCCCGAGCCGGCCTCCAGGTGTCCGCGCCCTTCCTCCAACTTCCCCAGAGCCTGACCTCAGGGCGTGGCCGCTGCGGGCGACAGGAGTCTGGGGCCGAGGTCACACCCTGTGTTCGAGGTGGGGGAGGGGCTGGACCTGTGAGCGGTGGCCTCCTCTCCCTTCCTGGCGAGGAGACACCTGGAGGGTGGCCACGAGGGTGGGCAGCCAGACGGTTTCAGAACCCGGGCCCTTCCCTGGCCCCGGGCAGCCCAGAGCAGCCGGGCCGTGACAGGCGGCCCCGAGCCTCGGCGTCACCGGCCCCTTCGCCCTGCCGCCCTCAGGCCTTCCCGAGTCGTGGCCTGGGTGGCCGCTGCTGGCCCCTGTTCCTGTTCCGACTCCTCCTCCCCCCACTCAGCAGGCCCCGGCCAGTGGTGTTCGGTGCATGGCGCTCTGCCCGGGTCTCCCCGAACCCGAGCAGGTTTCAGCCGCACACCTTACAGCCAGAGGAGGAGTCGGCATTGTGTTTCCACGTCACAACGGTGTGGGGTGTGTGTGTGTGTGTGTGTGTGTGTGTGTGTGTGTGTGTGTGTGGGGGTGTGTGTGGGTGTGTGTGTGTGTGGGGGTGTGTGTGTGTGGGGTGTGTGTGTGTGTGAGTATGGGGTGTGTGTGGGGGTGTGTGGGGGAGTGTGTGAGTGTGTGTGGCTTGATCGAATGAGCGCTAGGACGTCTTTCTGATGCATTAAATGCCCCAAATCAGTCTCCCTTGACCTGGTAACCTCTCAAAGTTTAAGGTGTCACAGCCTTTAAGAAAACTCCTCCATCTGAGTCTCATGAGTGTCCTTGGGTGCAGTGTGTTCCATGTGCCAGTGTCTCGCCAGCTGCTCTTTCCGGGTCTCCCGGATGCCCCGGCAGGGGGCCCCGCCTCTCACCAGCTGCCCGAGGTGGCCCGGGGCGAACTGCGTCCGGCCACAGGGCCCCAGGCCGCCCTCCAGGGGCGGGCAGTGTCCGTGGACAGTGTCCACGGTGCTTCTCTAAGGAGGATTTGCGCTCTGACAGCTTCTGTTTCACGGAAGTTCCACTCTCACCCCTTTCCGGGTGCGCTGCACGGCTGCTAGTCAGAAACAAGGAGGAGAGAGACCTGCTTCCCCCATTCCCGGTTTCCGTGAGCGCAGTCCCCACGACCGGTCCTGCCTGGGGCGCCGGGGCCGACCGCAGGGGGCCCGGAGCTGTGCCCCCCGCACGCGCGTGCACTTGCACACTCACCAGGGTTGTGAAGAGGTAGTGGTAGTGCTCCGTCATCATGCCCATGAGCAGGGTCTGCAACAGAGAGAGGGCGGGTCAGGAGCGGGGCTCTCATGGGGCATCAGTGGGCAGTAGGGTGAGCGCCACAGGCGGGAACCAAAACGAGGGGCCCTGGGGACCCGTGGACGCAGTCCCCGCGAGACTGAGGCGAACCGAGGGCTGGCCGCAGCGCCCCGAGACCCAGCCCGCGGGCCTCCCTCCGGCGCTCTCCCCTCGCGCCACGTCCGACCCGCAGGAGGTGGGTGCGCTGATGATCAGAATTCAGCGTGGTCTGAGATGAGCCAGTGTCCTGCGTGGGGTTGTCCCCCGCGGCCCGGGGCGGCCCCCACCCGAGTAGCCCCAGGCTCAGACGCGCGCGTGCGGGCCCCCAGCGCCGGGGCTGTTGGTGCTGCCTCGGAGCGGGGCTCAAAACGCGCGCACCAGGACGGAGACGTTCTTCGACGAGAGCTTGTAAAGAAGTGAGACTCTGGAACGTTCCTCCTCCCGCCCCCCGCACCCCACAGACCGCGGGGAGGACGGACGGGGACGTTCGCGCACACAGTCCACACCGCCCCGCACTTGGGTCTGGGCGGCATCCTGCCAGCCCCAGGCCGGCTGCCCTGTGGTCCCGGCTTTTGGTGAAGGAGGGGGGCGGGGCGAGCGAGGGGGCGGGGCGAGCGGGGCGTGTGGGCGGGGCGGGAGAGGGGGCGGGGCGAGCGGGGTGTGTGTGGGCGGGGCGGGAAAGGGGCGGGGCGAGCGGGTGTGTGGGCGGGGCAAACGGGGGTGTGTGGGCGGGGCGGAGGAGGGGGCGGGGCGAGCGGAGGCTCTCAGCCCAGGTCGTTCCCTGAGCCGTGGGCTGCTTTTGGGATTTTTGCGCGTGGCGCCCACGGAGAGGAAAAGGCCCCCGAAGGCCTGGAGACCAACGACTGATTCTCAGCTCCCCGAATCGAGGCGCTCGCCCTCCTCGGGCCAGGTCCCCAGGAGGACGCTGTGGGGGCCCGGCGCGGAGAGGCCTCGGGCATCACACCTCCCGGGCGCATCTCCGCGCGACCCCGCTGCAGACGAGCATGGGCCCGGGGGCTCGGCAGCCAGACGCTCTCAGAGCCCGTGGCAGGCGCTCGGGGGAGTTTCCGAGTGTGGAGCCGGGACTTCGTGTTTCCGCGCAGTGGGGAGGGTCGCCGCCCCGTGGGACGCGCCCATTTGCATCAAAGAATAAAGGCTTTTACTACCCCAGTGAGAAGAGGCCTGGGACGGTCTGGGAAGAGGCAACATAGTCAGAAGAGACGCTGGAAGGCGCCCAGGACGCGTGAGGAACGAGGTTCACGGGACAGGGGACCAGAAAGGAGGAGGGTGGGTGGGTGGGGGGCCCCCTCCCCCTCCCCCTCCCCCTCCCCCTCCCCCCGCAGAGCGCACCCCGCCCCCACTGCTCCGCCCTCTGCGGCCGCGGGACCAGACACACTGTAACGTCACGAAGATACAACGAATGCCCGGGCACTCTCCTTGGGAGTCAGCAGCCCCCAGCGAGGAAGTCTCCCTGCGGGGATGACGGGACTCGGCTCCCGGGGGGTTTTACCCAGGGCAGAGCTGCTGTCCGCGGTGGATGAGGTTCGGGGCGCGCTGGGAGGCGGGTCAGCCGGTCTCGGATGCCCCTGCGGAGGGCAGAGCTGACCAGTGCGTCAGCCAGGAGTCCAGTGTCTCTCTTGAGTCCTCAGGTGGCGTAAGGGAAGCAAGACTCGCCCCCTGAGGGGGCGCCGGGGCGAGTTTTATGTCAAGATACAGAGCTGGACACGGGGGTTTGAAATGTTGCTTCTGCCCTGGCTGGCGTAGCTCGGTGGATTGAGCTCGGGCTGCGAACAAAGGGATGTAGGTTCGATTCCCAGTCAGGGCACAGGCCTGGGTTGTGGGCCAGGTCCCCAGTGGGGGCCATGCGAGAGGCAACCACACACTGATGCTTCTGTCTCTCTTTCTCCCTCCCTTCCCATCTCTAAAAATAAATAAGTAAAATCTTTTAAAAAAATGTTGCTTCTGGGACTGGAAAAGAACCACAAAGCCGGCTGTTTTCAGCTTTTCACCTGGGCTGATGCTTCTTTGAAAACAGCCTTGGGGGTGTTGGACCGCCCCTGGAGGCACAGGCCTGTTCAGAAACGCTGACACTGTTGCAGTGATGCGCGGAACAAAAACCCAAGCACAGCACCAAGAGCACAAAGCGCGGGGGAGGGCATGTACGAATGCGATCCTCGTGGGATCTACTTGAACGTGAGCACGTATGGGCTCCCAGGGAACGGCCGTGGATATCGGATGCTGTGCGTAACCCTGGGTCGCCGCAAACCAGAGTCTGCGGGAGGTGCGCACAGAACCGAGAGAGAGCGACCCAACAGAGGGCCCAGAAAACCCGCAAACTGCACAGGAGGGCGGTGGAGGAAGGGGCAGGGAAGAGTCACAGGCGTGAGGGGCAAAGAGGCAGCGAGTGCCTGCCGACCAGCAGTTACTCCGCCCGTGAGCCGGTTAAACGCCCCCCCAGGAGGACACGGGGCGCCTGGATGGACCACGGGTGCGGCCCGTGTGCGTGCTGCTCACGCGAGGCCGGCTTCAGGTCCAGGGTGCACAGACGGGAGGTGCAGGGTGGGGGCCGCACTGCGGGCAGACAGAACCGGAAAGAAAGCGGGGGCAGCCGGGCTCGCATGGGACAGAGCAGACTTGGAAACAAAGAATCCGAGACGGGAACATGAGACGTTACATTGTGGCGAAGGGGTCGGGCCACAGAAGGGCTGAAACGGCCACGTGTATCTATTCGCCCAGCCTGTGAGCACGTGGACGCAAAAGGCGATTATTAATAGACACAACGACAGAAATTGACAGTCCTGCAATAATGGCAGTGGATTTTACACGCCACTCATATCAATGGATAAACCACCCAGACAGACAATTAATAATAAAATAATGACCTTAAATGTGACACTGGACATTTATAGAACATTTCACTCAGAAACTGGTTATATTTCGTTTCAAGCGTCCATGGAACGTTCTCCAGGACAGACCATGTTATCCGGGTACAAAGCAAATCCGAGAGGGTCGAAGTCAAACCCAGCATCTTTTCTGACCGCAGGGGCGTGAGCCTGGCGCGCAGCTGCGGGAGGAGAACGGGGAGAGGCAGAGACCCGTGCAGACAGACGACCTGCCACTGGGAGCCCGGGCCCCGAGAGGAGGTCAGACAAGAAACCGGGCACCACCCACCCGGACACGGGGAAACACGACTTCCCAAAAGGCACGGGACGCAGCCGAAGCTGTTCTGAGAGGAAGTTCCCTGCTTACACAGGCTCCAGAAACAATGGAAACCTCAAGTAAACTGGAAAAAGAAGGACAAACAGAACCCGAAGTGATGGAAGGAAGGAATAAAGATCCCAGTAGAAATAAATGAAACAGATTTAAAAAAACACAACAGAAAAGACCGATGGAACTAGGAGCTGGTTCTTTGAAAAGGTGAACAAACCGATACACCTTTCGCCGAACTCATCACGGAAGAAAACGGCCTCGAGTGAGCGAAATCGTGAGGAAAGGGGGGGTTACAACCGACGCCACAGAAGCACCCAGCGCCGCTGCCGATCATGACACGCCGACCAATTGGACAGCGTGGGAGACACGGGTACGTTTCCAGAAGCATTCAGCCTTCCAGACGGACCCGGGAAGAAGCGGCACATCTGAACAGAGCAACGCCTGCCGTGACATTGGGGCGGTAATCAAGAGCCTCCCGAGAGCAACGGCCAGGACCAGATGGCTTCGCCGGCGAATAAAGCATGGAAGCTTTTTTTTTTTAATATTGTATTTATTTTTAGAGAGAGGGGAAAGGGAGGGAGGGAGAGAGGGAGAGAAACATCAGTGTGTGGTTGCCTCTCCAGAGCCCCCTACCGGGGGTGGGGGGCGCCGGCCCACAACCCAGGCGTGTGCCCCGACTGGGGATCGAACCGGTGACCTTTTGGTTCACAGCCCGCGCTCCATCCACTGACCACACACCAGCCAGGGTTGTGTGATGCTTTTTAAAAAGCAGCCAGGCATTCAACTGACTATTTTCATTAGCGGTTTGTGGCTGTGCTGGGAGGCGCACGCCCGTCTGCTGTGCCCCGTAGTCACTGTCGGAGGGAGCGCGGAAGAGGCGGGGGGAGACCGCTCGCGGGTCCGCCCCGTTCTCATGGGTGAGCCGGGGGAGCCGCCGGTCTGGCTGCCCCTCCCGGGCCTGGGGCGGTGCGCTCCGACCCCGGCCCCCCCGTGAGCCTCCTGGGCGGGGAAGTGGAGGGACAGGTTCAGCCGGGGACCGCTGACAGGCCACGCTGGAGGACTCCTGAGGACTGGGGCGCAGGAGAAGCTTCCAGAAGGGAGGACAGGCGGTCCTGCGAAGGTGGTGCCTCTTCACGGCCGTCTTCGGGGTGGTCGGTCCGCGGGCGGGGGCTCTGCGGTGGGGAGCCGCGCGCTTGATGGATGGAAGCACTGCAGCCACGCGGGAGTTTCCCTCCGTGAGCTGGTGTGTCAGCCAGACGTCGTTGGAGGGTTAAGGGAGTGTCAGAGCAAGACAAATAATAAGCGGTTTTAAGATAAAAAGTGTGATCACGATACCGCAGTTTTCTGACAGCTCTGTGCAAAGCTGACTTTTCCCTTTGAAACTGGAGCTCTGTTGATGCAGCGCGGGGCGGCGGGGCGGCGGGGCTGCGGGGCGGCGGGGCGGCGGGGCTGCGGGGCGGCGGGGCGGCGGGGTGGGGGGGCCTGGCTCCGCCGAAGTCGTCCGTGGTGGCACGGAGCGCGTCACACCACCACACGCGGGTGTGACGACGCGGCTGCGGGTGCGGTTCAGGCGCTGCTGCTGGCGCGCGCGGACCCGTTCTTCGAGCAGCGCGGCTACTGCTCCCGGAGCCGCCCCGGGGAACGGCCCGCGGCGCCGCAGCGCGGACCGAGCTCCACGGCGCTGCCCAACCCGGCCCACGGGCACCGACCGCCGCGTGCCGCCCCGGGGAAGGTGCGGAGCACCTCTCTGCTGGCTCCGACGG